CGCCGTCTCAGACCAGCCCTGCCATGCTTGTTAACTTGGCCTTCATCCAGTCGTCCCGTTTCTACCCCTCAGAGTACCTGACGGCACTGGGGCATCCCTGCTGCTCAGTAAGAGTCACAAGGGGCCAGTGGGTTCTGTCCTTCCACATGGATTGGAAACCACACCTCTTATTTCATTTTCAGCTGCCTCGTGCCTCTAGCAGGGGTCTTAAGAACACAGAACACAGTACCAAGGCCGGCTGGCATTTCCATTTTATTTCCCTCTGCTTCCCACAATCCAGCCAAGCTGAACCACTCAATTCCATTCAGTCACAATGTTTTCCCTGTTGACGCCTGAACTCAGGTTTTTCCCTCTGGGACCCTGCTCCATCCCATTTTGGAATCCATTCCCTGGTGCTCATTCAAAGTCCCAGTCACATGTCATCTCCTTCAGGCACTGGCTCTGAGAGTTGGCTCACCCCGTGCGACTTCCCGTGCTGAGTCTCCGAAGCGCCTGCACAGGCTCCAGATTCAGACGCAATCTGAGCTTGGATCTCAGTGACCAGCTGAGTGACGCTGGGGTGCGTGCCTTGTCCTCTCTGAGCCTCAGTCTCCTTAGCTCTAGGGTAAAGGGGGTAACCACACCCACATCGTGGTGTTGATGGCGGTGGTGTGCCGGGAAGATGAGACCACGCGTGTGAGGCTTTTGACGCTGTGGCAGATGTATGGCCGACGCTCAGTAAAGGGCGGCAGTTACTGTTAGCAGAGTCACCTGTGCACGTACCTTGTGCCCCTGCTCACTCTGAACCCTTCAGGGCGCAACCTGTCTTATTCATCACCATTTCCTTGGAGGTGTCTCCCTGGAGCCTGGATACCCAAGCTTTGTTTTTTGGACTCTTCCTTGGGTGGGGCCCTTGCACTTCTGCATCACGACACTAGGGGGAGCAGGAGACCATGGGCATTTTGGAAGACTGGCCTGCGTCTGGGTCGCCCTTCTCTTTTCAGCCTGTACCAGTGGTGGCCCCCACCCCGTTGTAGTTCCTTCTTGCTTGAACTGTACTCTCATTCCTTTATGCTAGGAACATTTCAAAAGCGCCAAAGCCAAGAGCCATTCATTCATTTTGGGAAGGCTTCCTCACTCCCCAAGTCTGCCCTTGCTGAGGGGTTCATCAAAACTGGCCAAGATTTCCTGACACTTTTATGTGTCTTTTACTATTTTTTTGTTTCAAGGATAATGGGTTCAAGAACGTACTATCTTTTATGGTGAAGCAGGGCAAGTACAGCAGACGGTGCCGCACTGGCTGGTGCAGCGTCTGATGTTTGAGATCCATGGAGGGAACGGTGCCCATAAGGACAGTGGACTTGGTTGATTGTTGCTGGATGCTGTTGATACTTTAAAGAGAAAAAAACAGCAGACTCAGGCCATCCATTTACGCCTTTTGACTGGCCCAAAGTCAGAAGGCCTGCATAGTAGTATTTAAAGTCCCTCATCTCCCACAGAGGGCAGATGATGCTACACACCAGGCCTAGAACCTCGTAGTAACCTTCACAGAAAGCTGAATTTGCAGCATCCACACGTTTCTTATGCCAAGGGCAGGGCCCTCATAGAGAAGCAACGGAATCTCAAAATGTGGGATGGGAACATGTTCATGGATGTGCTTGATAACACTGAACTTCCAAGTCCCCTGAATTTTCTCGGCCTACAAAAGTGCGCCATTCTCCTTGGATAGAAGACGCCAGTCGCCACATTGCCATTGGCTGGAGACTGTGAAGAGGCCTCGCTGAAGCAGATGCCTTGTAAGACATCATCATCTAACTCAAGATCTCCCCGCCCCTTCTCTCCTGGCCGTTGGTGAAGCCCACTGGGTTAGTGCTGGTCTTGCTAAGGGAGGGCAGAATTATTCGCTGATGGATCTGCAGGTAATGTGTACCAGCACATGGGAATCCTTTCCTGGGGGAGTATCTTGAGGCTGTTAGGCAGTGAGCAGCGGGCTATGAAGCTGAATGAGGGGGATATTATTGGTATGAGGGCAACACTTACGACTCGGTCCTCCACGGACAGTCCTGACACGCTGCTGGGAAGCCTTTTGGGACCTGGGAAAAGTTATTGCACATGCTGAGAGAGGTAGAGATTCCAGAACCACCTTCACAGGGTATTGAGAGAAGGGTAAGAAGTCTGAGAGGTAAGTGTGCTTGATGAAGAAGGTCATGGGGAATGAGTGTTGAACGGGTCTAGAGCTACAGTTCCGCAGGACGATGGCGGTGACTGTTGCACAGCAACGTGCATGTGCACGTTGGCGCACGTACTTAATACCTCTGAAGTGTGCAGTGATTACGATAGTAAGTTTTCTGTGATGTGTGCTTTACCACAATAAAAAAGAAAATAAATAAAGCACTATTGGGTCATAGCCCAAAGTACAAAATAAGTATTCATGAGTACACGCTGTTGTAAATAAGCGATTAAATACATACATACATAAGCAGAGGGAAGAGAGACGTTTCCTGCACAGAAAACCCAGAATACTTTATGTTCATACTCCGCCCTCAGTGGCGGGGAGCCTAACTCCCAACTTCTTAATTGTGGGCTTTGCATAGTGACTTCCTTCCGAAGATACATTATGGAAAGATGGGATGTTGGAGGGCGATGGGAGTAACCTTCCAGTGGGGAAGGCTGACACACGCTACCTCAGCCAGGTGGTCAAGGTGATAAGTCATGTTAATTGTATGTACTCTTTATATGAAAATGGCACCTGACCTCTATGGTCTTCCTCTTCAAAACCCATAACTTCAGTCTGATCATGAGAAAAATATCAGACAAACCCAGACTGTGGGATAGTCTGCAAAATACCTGACCAGGCATGTTCTAGTTCTTGGATTAGGTGGTCAGTTGATGAGTGTTTATTGGATGACTAATGTTATAATTTATATCCGTGTAACATTTATGCTTTTCATGTATCAAATTTTGTTTAAAATATAATTTTTTAAAGTATTCATGCACATACACTGACCCAGCAATTATACTTGTAGAATTGTATCTCAATATACACATATGGGCATGAAATAATATAAGAAGAAGGAAAAAAAAACCAAACAAGGAAAGTCTGAGAAACCATCACAGTCAAGAGGACCCTAGAGAAACAAGGCAGCTAAATGTGTGATAGTCTAGATGAGATCCTCAAACAGAAAAAGACATTAGGTAAAAACTAAAGAAACTGGAAAAAACCATGAAGTTCAGTTAATAACCATGTACCAACCCTCTTTTGTTAATTATAATAATGAATACACCATACTAAACCAAGATGTTAACTATAAGGAAACCTGAGTGCGAAATGTATGATAACTCTGTACTATCTTGAATTTTCTGTAAATCAAAAACCGTTCTTAAAAAATAAGGTCTATTAAAAAATTCAAAACCTAAGACTTCACTAATTACCTCCTCCTCTAAAAAAAAAATAGGGGGCAAAACTTAAGATTTCAAAAAAAACTATGCACATATTTTGGGTGTTTCTAATTACTTCTCCCTGTGTTCCCAGCCTTCCCAGTCAGTCCCACCCAGACTTGCCCTTAACTCTCGTCCCGTTAGGAGGACTCGAGCCCCTTCTCTCATCCTCTAAGTAATGAGAGCCACTGACAAGTGTTAACCCAAGGAGTAATGTGGTTAAGTCAGAACTGTAACACCCTGACCACTGTGTGATGGGTGGATTGCAGGGTGTGTGGAGACGGGAAGCAAAGGAGACCAGCTTGAGGGCTGTTGCAATAGTTCAGGTGAGAAGTGATCTCAATCCAAGCTTGGGAGGTGCAGGTAGAGGTAGTGAGGACTTGGTCTCTGTGGTGGGTGGGGAAGAAGAGGAGAGGAGTGAGGAATGCGATGGTGTCTCTGGCTTAAGTGAATGCACAGATGGTGGTATCAAGAAAGGATACCTAAGGAGGAATGAGAGCGAGTGTTGCTGGAGTTGGGTGGGGGGCTGAGGGATGCTAAGTACTATTCAGAGCTATTGAGTTTGGCTTCTATGGCAGTCTCAAAAAGGATGTCCCTAGATGGGGAGGGTATAGCTCAGCAGTGGAGCGCATGCCTAGTATGCACAGGGTCCTGGGTTCAGTCCCCAGTACTGCCATTAAAATCAATCATTCAACCAATCAGTCAATCAACCTAATTACCTCCCCCACCAAAAAAAAAAAAATAAGAATGTCCCTGACATGCTTATGACTGTGATAAGACAGTTTTGGGTAACTTGAGACCCCCTGCCTGAGATCACGTAAATAATTAAAGCAAGGTGATTCCCAGAAAAGAGAGCCCCCCACATGCTGATGTGATCAATGGCAGTAAGAGCTACAGAAATGTCAAGGCGGGAACCGCTGCAGTGACCTTGGGTCTGTATTTCTGCAGGCTATTCAGCATTTTTGGCTTCCGTGATTTCAGCTAGACCAACTTTTACTTCTTTTAGTGACACTGTCACTTTTCCCATCAGAGACCAGTCCCAGGAGTCTCTCCTCTCACCATCTTGCCCAATTCTGCTTCTTCGCTTCCCTAAAGTCTCCTTTATAACCATGCAGGTGGTCCGCAAGGCTCTTGGAAACCATGTGGACAATCTACACAGAGAAACCTGGGCAGGCACCAGAATGCAGGTGGGGTCCCCACTCCCTCCCCATCGCTTTGGCCACCCTTTGGCCCCATCCCCTTTGGGTTAGGATTGGGTTCGGTGGTTATACTGTAAGGCGGTGCTGAACTGAGATAACCAGATCCTCTTCCCCTCAGCCAGACTAACCCATCCCCTCTTCGAGACTGCCAAGTGCTGCTTTCAGGTGTGTGAGTGAAGCGGCCCTGCTTTGTTTTGGTGTTGTTTTGATTTCATTTTTAGCAGTGGTGGAATGTATTGAGTGCTTTGGGGAGCAGAATTCAAGAGGGGTCAAATGTCTGTCCTCTTCTGGGAGTTGGCCAAGAGAGTCAGTTGCAACCGTTGACCCCCACACAGGTTTTTATACGGAGAGCAATAGCGGATAAAAAGCCAAACAACACAGGACCCCAGGACTTCTAGGATTTATTCTGTATCACTGTGCACACTCACAGATTCAGCTATCACACTGAGGGTGCAGTCAGAGTTGCTGTAGTAACTGTCCTCAGGCAGAGGCTCTGGCCACCGGAGGTTGGGGCTGGGCTCAGGGGGATGGGCGCTGGGCGGCAACGTCCCCTCCCCCCCAGCCCTACCAAAGGACATGCGGAAGGACAGGGTCGGGCAGGTTCACAGACAAGGCGGGCCACCAGGCAGGGGACCTGAGGTAAGCGAGGCCACTGGCGCTCTCTTCACTTGTGTGAGGTTGCCGGGGGCCTCTGGGCCCCTGGGGGTGGTGATTTATATTTGAGGGGGCACTACACCTGCTGCTGCTGCTGCTGCTGCTCTTCAGGGAGCAAGACGTCTCCCTTCAGCGGCTGGGCAGGGTGGGTCTCCTGGTCCTGGCCAGGGGCTGGGGTAAACGCAGGCTGTTTCAGCTGCCCCTCCTGCTGCGCTGATGGCTCCTGCTGCTTCTCCCGCTGCTCCAGGTGTTCCAGCAGCTGCTCCTCTTTCCTTTCCAGTTGCTCATCTTTCTTTGCTTGCTCTTGGTCTAGCTGCTGGTCCAGGAGATTCTTCTCCTGTTCCAGCTCTCCCTTTAGCGGCTGCTGCCTTTGTGCCTTCTCCTGCTTCAGCTGCTGCTCCGAATCTTCTGCTTCCTGATATTCCCCACACTCTTCTTGTTGCTGCTGCTGCTGCTGCTGCTGCTGCTGCTGCACTTCCTGCTCCTGTAGCTCCTGCTGCTGCTGCTCCACATGCTGTTCCAGATGCAGCTCCTGCTCCTGTGACTCTTGTTGCTGCTGCTGTTCCACATGTTGTTCCTGCTCCTGTGACTCTTGTTGCTGCTGCTGCTGTTCCACATGCTGTTCCTGCTCCTGTGACTCTTGTTGCTGCTGCTGCTGTTCCACATGCTGTTCCTGCTCCTGTGACTCTTGCTGCTGCTGTTCCACATGCTGTTCCTGTTCCTGTGACTCTTGTTGTTGCTGTTGCTCATGATGCTGTTCCAGCTGCTGTGGCTCCTCCTGCTGCAGCTCACACTCTTGCTCGGGTATCTCCTTCACAAGAGTTATGTGTTTCTCCCTGTGCTCCAAAGGGGTCTCCCCTGGGAGCTCAGAGGGTACCTCCAGGCATGGGGCAGGCAGCACAGTTGGCTGCTTCACTTGTTCCTGCTGGATATCAGTGGGAGGAGGAACAGACTTGAGGGGCTCCTGACTGAGGGCAGGGGGCAGGGTCACTGGCAGAGTGTACTGCTGCGACATCTTGGAAGTTGCTTTAGGTCAACCTGAAAAACCCAAAAGGGATAAGAGGGGTTACTGAAGGCGAGGAAGGAGATGAAGCCCTGGAAGTGCAGCAGTGGATGGTTCCTCCTCTTCCCCTCTTCTCTTGGGTGGGACACTCTGCCGCCCACCCTGGGCTGTCATTCCCCAGAATCAGCAGAGTGAAGGATAGAACTCGGGAGGGGCAGGAAGGGCCTCCGGGGACCCGCTTGTTCCCAAGAGCCACCAAAGAGGGCTCTCTCCAGGGCTGCTCTACTGGGTGGGCTGAATGCCCCCTCACCTCCCGCCGCTGCCCGTCCTTGTCTCTCCCCTGCTGCTGACCTCCACTGACAGAGAGGAGAGACGGCTTCTGGGATTATGGCGGGAAGAGGTAAGGTGCCAGGAGTAGAAAGGTCTCCTGGAGGACTCCTGGGTCCTGGGAAGCCAGCGGCCCATGCCGACAGGGTGTGAGAAAGCCCTGAGCTGGAGTCACATGACATGTTCTCAGCTTAAACCTCCCAGTGAAATACAATGTGCTTCTAGAAAAGTCACAGCCCCTCTGGGCCTCAGATTTCTCCTCTATGAAATGAACAGACTGGCCTACTCGCCCCAGAGCTGCTTCCTCGCATGACCCCTGAGCTGCAGCTGCAGCCCCAGGGCTTGAGGTGAGGAGGCGGTGGGAGGCGGCTGGAAACAGCTGCCCCCACTTCCAAGCTGGGTTCTCCTGCCTCTGCTCTGCCCGGGTTCTCCAAATATACCAGTGCTCCCCACCCCCTGCATTTCTCCCTTCTGTAGCACAGCCAAGAGTTACAAGTATTTCCCTGGACCTTCTGTTCCCATAAAGAAGGCAAAATCACAGTCAGCCCAAATCAAACAGTTTTAGGAGAAAAATTGGCCATATTCTCCCCGCCTCCCTATTCCCCATCTCAGCCCTCTCTCTCTCTCCCCACCCCTGGCCCCCATATGCTCTAAAATATGGTCCCAAGAACACATGAGACAGGAGGGGATTGCTGTCCATTCTGTTTCCATGCCATGCCACCCAGCCCCCAGCACAGTGACCTGAGTCCTCCTAGAAGAACAGGTAGGCCAGTCGAACCAGTACACGAGTGACACTGCTCTCTGGCCTGCGGGAAGCCCCGGCCTGTACCCTGGCTCTGCTGGCTAACACTCACCAGACTCACGGGAAGGATGGCCAGAGAAGCTTCCAGTGGAGTGCTGAGCTGAGCAGGGGCCAGGCTGCCCTTTATACCGTTCCCCAGCCTGGCCTCCTTCCCGAGTTGAAGGAGATGGACTGGTTTCACCACTCAACTTCCTCTAGCGCCTTCCTGACTCATCACCAGCACCTTGAGCAGAAAACCCCTCAGGGCCCCTTTTCACAGAGACACACAGCTCCTCCCGGCCAGAGGGCTTGGGGGTTCAGTCACTCCTGTGGTTCTCACGACCTGGGCACTGGGAGGTAAAGGGGGCATCTCAGGAACCTGGTCCCCTTTTCCTCTTGTTCTGTGATCTCAGTCAAGTTTTCTCTCCAAATCTCAATTTGTTCCCCTGTAAAATGGGTTTATCCTCATTATTAGGCTGTAGGATTCGTTTCCAAGGGCACCGAATAGAGTCATGCGTCTGTCTGGGATGTCCAGCCTGGAGATGGGGTGGAAAGGTGGAGGAATCACTTTCCCTGAAGGGGTGGGGCTGCTGGGGGATTCTCTTGGTTACTAGCCCACAGCCCGTCTGCTCTCAAGGCATTTCTATAACTCCATTCTGCATGGAAATAAACTCCGTCCTGGGAAGGGGAGGGTTGAGCCTGACTTTAGCCCAATATGGTCAAATAGAAGCTTGTCAGGGTCTTCTGCTGGGTACCAGGGGCTACCCAGGCCCTGCGTTGAAGGCTGTAGTTACAGAAGTTCCCAAGAATCATGCTCCAAAAACTCCAAGTCACGGACAACTCTAGGCAAGGAAACAGGCACCAAGGATATAATGCATGAAATAATAGGGATGGCTTTCTATGATGATAAAACAAACGTTCCGTATGTTTGAGGGAAATGCATGAAGGTACAAAGATCAATACAAGTAGGTCATCCACTGCGGTCTCTGAACTACTCTCTAAAAAATAGCCTAAGCAGTCTTTCAGAGTGAGGGCTGGAACTTGTCCCCGCTCAGTGCTGGCGGCGACCCCACGCTCCTGGAGTAAAATCTAGACTCACTGCCACGGTTTCACAGACCCTTGGATGAGGCCGGTGCCCCCCACCTCGGGGCTCGGGGCTGCCCGGGCCCCTGACTCTTCGTGTCCTTCGGCCTGACCGTGAACGTGGGGGCCCGCCAGAGAGCCTCCCCACGGCCCCGCTGGAGCACCGTCCCGGGCCCGCTGCATTTCGCTAGTGACAGTGAAGGGCTCTTTTATCTGCTGTGTTCACTGGTTTATTTTCCACCCCTCCCACAGGAAAGCAAAGCTCCGTAAGGCCAGAGTTTTCCCTGGCGTGTTTTCCACTCTGCCCCCAGCACCTGCTGCAGCCGCTGAATGCAATCCGTGCCCGATAAATCCGCGCCGAAGGAATGAAGGAACCCGGAGGGAGCGACTGCCGAGCGCTTCAGCGTTGCCTCTGTGTGTGCGTGTGAACAGGCCCAACTGTGACTGGCCTTCCTTTCAATGATTGGTGAATAGTTTATGTTAGGGACTTCATTTGAACTCTCTTCCTCACAACTCATGCAAAAAACAAATATTAGAATAGTGTGAAGACAAAGACTAATAATTCTGAGAAGCATTCTGACTGCCCCGTGGTTGTCCTGACAGTCCCCTCCCTCCCAGCCCCCGGGAGATCTCTTTATGTGCTGATTTTGCCATGCTCCTGGGGCCTCATGTGTAAAGACGGATGGAAGGCCTCCTGCCTCTGTTCATGCCCCCTCCGTTCCCCAGGCGCCTCGCAACATCCCCTCCTCAGCCGAGGGCCGTGCTGTCTTCAGCGGCGGGGAACGCTTCCTCCACCCCGCCCCCCGCCATCCCGCTCCCCCTGCAGAGAACTAACCACGCATCCTCGCACCGGGCACACATGCCTCGCGCTGGGCTGCTGACCTCACATGGGAGGAATCTGCCGCTCCCCAACCCGTGACAGTCAGTCCCAGGGCAGCAGACCCAGCTGGAGGAAGTCACACCGGTCTTATGGGTTTCCAGGTGCCAAAATCTGCCAGATCTGCCTCCCGTCCTCTGATTCACAGACTGATGAGAGCTTTGCAGGGAAGACAGTGTGTGTGAGCCTTTGGCCACGGGGCCAAGCTAGGGAGTGGTGAGGAGGGTGAAGATCGGAGCTGAGGGAGGGCGTGTGAGCAGGGGAGGAGCGGAGGGGCCCCAGCCTTCTAGGGGCTCAGGGCCCCACGCCCTGCCCTCAGGTTGCGCCATGTTGGGGGCAGACGTGTACACAGATGGGAGATCCTCTCAATGTCTGCCTGAGTGACCTCATAGGCCCCGGGGTCCACATGCGGAGGCTGGGTAACTGTCCCGACCCCGCCCAGTATAACGAGAATGAGCTCACATCCCGTGACACACACAGAGGCCCCGACCCCGGCTGGTCCCCAGCCCAGGGAGGCCCCGGCTGCTTCTCTTGCAGAGGCAGAAACTGGCTGGTTTCTCCTTCTCTCTAAGTGAAACAACCTTCTTGAACTGTAGCTTAGCTGGGGGTGGGGGCAAGGGGGAGGAATGAGTCCCGCATTTCGCTGCCCTCGGGGAGGAGTGTTGAGGACAGCTCTTAGTAAGTCACGGGGATGGAGTGATGGTAGAGAGTCCTGGGGAGCTGACCTGGACCAGGAGGTCTCATGTTCCCATCTTGGTCCCCATGCCTAGGCTGCTTCCCCAAGAGGCAATATCTCCATTCTCTGGGGCCACTACCTTCCTCTCCACCCCCACAGGCCTCCTGCTCTGCCCAGGGCGCTGTTGCCTACATCACCCCACCACTTGCAACCCACAGTGGTCACCGTCCCGCAGACCTGGAAACCTCACCGTCCTCCTCCGTGGCCTCCCGAACCTGACCTCCCTCCGCTCCTCATCTGCCTGTTGGGCCTCTTTGAGCCCCAGGAAGGGACAAGCAAGGAAGGGAGATGAGACCAAGAAGCGGCCAAGAGGTTCATCCTCCTCTCCGGGCTTCTGGACTGGTCTCTCTGATGTGTCCCGTTTGCCTCTCCTCCGCTTTCCTCTGCCTTCCCCTTCTTGGCCTGTGGGATTGCTGGTTCCTGCTCTCAGTCCCCAAGGTTAGCTCTTGCTTGTGAAGCTGACGGCTGTGGAGGGACGGCCACACTTCTGCCCCTCATGCAGTAAGAGGCGTGAAGGCATGAAAGGCTATCAGTAGTGGAGAAAAGGAGATGTTCGGTGCCTTCTCCCCAAGCTGGCAGGACGCCCCCCCCTCCTAGGCTCACTGAGAAATCACATTCTTTGCAGCTGATTCTCTGCACCTGATTGCAACAGTGTGTCTGAGCTGGAGGGGCCTTGGAACACAGTGGGCACGGGAGGGCACCCAGTCCTCTCCGCTGGGGCCAGTCCTCTCTTGTGACAGGTGGGCACTGAAGTCTGGAGAGGGGCAGTGAGAAACCCAAGGCCTTACAGAGGGTCTGTGATAGAGCTGGGCTGGAACCCCCATGTCCTGATCTCCACCCAGTGAGCTCTCTTCCCACCAGGCTGCCCTCTCCAGTGCCCGAGCATCTGGTGTTGGTACCACGTTGGATGTTTTCCAACTCTGTGAGTCAGACGTTTACTGATTGACTCCAGTGTGGTCAATTCTGGGCTTTTTGGAGGAAGGGCCAGTCTTCTTTGGCTCCGATTCAGCCGAATGCCCTAAGGATGACCCTCGCTGGTCCGGGGAACAGAGAGCTCTGCGTCCTGGCTGCTGCTGGTGTTATTGTAGCCTAATCCAATCTGGAGGAGCATTGTTTTTCCAGGATAGACACTGGCTTTACAGTCAGCCAGGCCTAGGTTCGAATCCCACCGAATTTCCTGTTATCTGGACAAGTTGCTTTACCTCTGTGACCCTCAGTTTCTTGGCCTATAAATGGGTACATGCACCTCCTTCGACCTCTGTAAGGATTTGGTGGGCTGATACATGTTGTTAGCGCATAGATGGTACTCTGACTATGCTATTGTTGGGAGTCATGGCCAGTGTTTGCTGGTGGGATGCTCTGTGCTACCGGCCTAAATATGGAGTTATGAAAACACCAGATTTAACGTTCTCATTTTGCAAGTGAAAACCCTGAAGCGCCAAAGTCGCACAGCGTGTGGAGGAGAGTGGGGGGGGGCAGCCACGTCTCCTGACTGCACATTTGCCCCCCTGCTAGTCTGCCTGCTGCCGGGCCTCAGGTGTTGCTCCAGCTCAGCCCACAGAACTGTCCTCCTCCTGCGCTCATGAGGCCCCACGGGAAAGGATGGTGTTCCCGTGCGTGGGGTGGGCTCGCTGGGGAATCCAGGTGGGTTTGCTGTCCTGCAGCCTGATGGTCCGTGGAAGAGCCTGGGGGCCCGTGTGGGCAGAAGAGAGGTAGCAGTTTGGGTCTAGCTTTGATGCGGACAGAGGAAGCCAGGTAAGAGAGTGCAGAGTGCACAGACAGCCACATGGAGCTGGAGACAGATGGTAAGGGCTCTGCCCGCTGCCTGGAACGGGGGAGGACTGGTGAAGAACCCGATGGTGAGCCTTCCCTGGGATGTGCGCAAGAGAGGGAGGCAGTCGGGGGAGGGACACAGCCCGGAGGAGGGCAGACGGAAAGGGTGGCAGGGCTCTGGTTGGAGGGAAAAGGTGGGGGTGATGTCACAGAGGAGAGAGAGGAGGCAGGTGCAGAACAACAGGGTAAGAGGGACCTAGACCAGCTGTGCAGGCCCCCCCGGGAAGTGTCATCCTCAGTCGGACCACAGGTCAAAGGAGGCAAGGATGCCCCAAGGTCTTGGCTGACCGCCTGGTTTATCAGTCTCCATCCTCTTCCTCCCCTGCAAATTAGGGAGTGCTGGGGGACACCTGAGCCTGCATCAGCTGCCACCTGAGAGGACTAATTGCTCTTAAGGTTACTACTGAAAGTGGTTACAGAGGCCACTCAGATACGTGTGGAGTCTGTGCACGCACGTGTGTGTGAGTGAGTGTAGTGGGGGGATCAGCGCAACATGCCTTCTTCTGGGGGAGAGGCTTCCACCAAGAGGAGTTAGTTGCCCACATCTCTGCCTTGCTGGGGTCCCACTGAGCCCGAGTGAGCAGCCCCAGCGTGGCTCCTTTGTAACCTCATCCATTCTCTGTATTTGTGGACTGTTTGTCATAACGCTGTCCAGCTGCTCCAGGCCTCCAGATGGGTGGATCCAG